GGACCAGTCCTGGGGCTTGAACTCTGGGCCTGGGCACTGTCCCTGGGCTCCTTTTGCTCAAGGCTAATACTCTACCACTTGAGCCACAACGCCACTTCTGGCCTTTTCTGTTTATGGGGTACTGAGGAATCAAACCAGGGCTTCATGAATGCTAGGCAAGCACTCTAACACTAAGCCCCATTCCCAGTCCCCTTGAGTTTTTGTTGTTGGTTTTTTGTGTGTGTGCATGTGTGCACACTTCAATTATGCTATTCCTGAGCTTTTGTACCCTAGGCTACACTACCACTTGAGCCACAGAAATACTTTTGGCTTTTTTGTTGTTGTTGTTGTTTAACTGGAGATAAGAACACACAGATTTTCCTGCCTGGACTGTTGTTGAATCCTGATCCTGAGCCTCCTAGGTAAATAAGGTTTTAGGCATGAGTAACCAGCACTGCACTTTGGACTTTGTTTTTTTTTCTTTTTTTTTTTGTTGGTCATGGGGCTTGAACTCTGGGTCTGAGTGCTGTCTCTCAGCTCTTCAGCTCAAGGCTAGCGCTCTGTGCTTGAGCCACAGCGCTGCTTCCAGTTTTCTGAGTGGTTAATTGGAGATGAGAATCTCAAGGCTGGGGTTGGGAAGTTGGCTCAGTGGTAGAGCGCTTGCCTTGCATGCATGAGGCCCTGGGTTCAATTCCTCAGCACCACATAAGCAAAAAGAAAAAAAGCTGGAAGTGGCGCTGTGGCTCAAGTGATAGAGCGCTAGCCTTGAGCTGAAGAGCTGAGGGACAGTGCCCAGGCCCACAGTTCAGGCCCCAGCCAAAAAAAGAAAAAGAAAAAAGAAATAGTCTCATGGACTTTCCTGCCCAGGCTGGCTCTGAACTTCGAATCTCAGATCTCAGCTTCCTGAGTAGCCAGGATTATAAGCATGAGCCACAAGTGCCTGGTTAAAACCTTGATACTTATATCTCAATGTCCTGAGTAGCTAGGATTACAAGTGTGAGCCATCCAGCTAAAATATATCCAGCTAGTATATAACCAGCTAGAATGTTCCTTATAGGCACCCAAGCACTGAAAGCCAATTCTAAATGGGGCTTCCAAATCAAACTAGAGAAACCCTGCCCGATTTCTCAGGAAAGATGCCTGGTGGAGGGAGGTAGGGCATAGGGAAAGCCTGTGCCAACATCTCATTGGATCCTCCCCACTTTCACCCCTCCTAATTTCTCTTCACAGGGACACAGAGAATAAACCTTTACTCCTATGTGAAGTAAGAGAGAAGAGTAGAGCTGGGCGTCCATGGCTCAGGCCTGTAATCCTGGCTACTCAGGAGGCTGAGATTTGAAGATTGTGATTCAAAGCCAGCCGAGGCAGGAAGGTAGTCTGTGAAACTTATCTCTAATTAACCACCAGAAAACTGGAAGTGGTGCTGTGGCTTAAGTGGTAGAGCTGGCCTTGAGCTGAGGAGCTGAGGGACAGCGCCCAGGCCTAGAGTTCAAGCCCAATCACCAACCGAAAAAAAAAAAAAAGAGAGAGAGAGAATAGATAGGAGGGCATGGGTGTGAAGAGTAGGGCAGAAGAAAATTTGCATGCCATTTTTTTTGTGTGTGTGTGGGGTTGGGGATGGAACCAGGCCTTTGAACATATTTGACAAGCATTCTGCCTATCCCTAGCACCCATATCATCTTTTTTTTTTCCCCCCTGGTCCTGGGGCTTGAACTCAGGGCTTCTTCTTCTTCTTCTTTTTTTTTGCCCGTCATGGGGCCTGAACTCTGGGCCTGGGCGCTATCCCTCAGCTCTTCAGCTCAAGGCTAGCATTCTACCACTGGAGCTACAGCGCCACTTCCGGCCTTTTTCTTTTTGCTTATGTGGTGCTGAGGAATCGAACCCAGGAACTCATGCTTGCAAGGCATGCACTCTACTGCTTAACTACCTTCCCAGCCCCTTCGTCGTCTTCTTCTTCTTTCTCTTTCTCTTTTTTTTTTTTTGGGTCCGGTAGTGGAGCCTAAACTCTGGGCCTGGGTGCTGTCCCTCAGCTCTTCAGCTCAAGGCAAGTGCTCTACCACTTGAGCCACAGTGCCACTTTTGGTTTTTTGGTGGTTTTTGAAGATAAGAATCTCAAGGAAAAAAAAAAAAAGGATCTCAAGGACTTTTTCTGCCCAGGCTGGCTTTGAACGATGATCCTCAGATATCAGCCTCCTGAGTAGCTAGGATTACAGACGTGAGCTACCATGGCCCAGCTCCTTTAGTAACCTTCTAAGTTCCAGGAGAGGCAAGAAAGCAAGTCAAATGACTCCTCCAGAGAAGAGTCCTCCAGGTGCAATAGGGGCAGACAGTGCTGGGCAGAGCTGGGGTGGGGGTGGGGGTAGGACAGATGATTTAGGCAGAATAGAGACAACCTGTCCTTCAGGCCTAACAGAGGGTGGAGGAGGGGAGGGATGCCAGTCTCAGGAATCGAACCTAGGGCCTCAGGCATGCAAGGCAAGCGCTCTACCACAGAGCCAACTTCCCAGCACCAACTCCAGACAAATTTAACTTGACTTTAATGTTCAGACTTCAGGCATGCATTGGGCCAACCTGGCTTAAGGCAGCCAGAGGCAGAGGGGCTCAAGTCTCTCTTTGGAACCGGCCTCTTGAATTGCCAGTCTTTTATCACCAAGATCAAGTACAAATTGTAATCCAAAAAACAAATGGTGGCGTTGAGTGGGGAAGTGAGCTGCTGGGAAAAGGGGGATGGGGGCTACAGGGGTGATCTGGAGAGGCTTAGGGTGGGGGTTCCCAGGAGCCTCCGTGTTGGAGATTTCTGCCAGAGCCAGAGCTCACACCTCCCCCTCCGGGAGGCTGTCTTCTTGGCAGACAGCAGATAAATGCATGACAAAGGCTCAGAAATGGCTCAGTCACCAGGGTTGCGAGGATGGCTGAGGAGGGGCTTCCTAGTTTGAAAGCCCATCTCTCCACCCCCACCAGGTTCCTTAATCTTCCTACCTACCTTTGGGGCAGTTGATGGCTGAGTGGTAAATGTAACTTCAACCTCACTGCCAGTAGATCTTCAAATTGACCTATGAGATGAATGGACATTTATGTGTATGGCTAGTTGCCCAATACATAGGTGAGGCACTGACCATAGATCCAGACAGAAAAATGAACTGAAAAGTACCATCAATGAAGATTGCTAGCCATAGCTGGAAGGCTCCCAAACCACCCTGGCCTCTAGAAGGCAAAGCCACCAACACCAGCAAACAGCCTCAGGCATGGCTGGGCCCTCAGTCCTCAGAGAGATTCAGGGGGCCCTCCACACTCCAGGCTGAGCTTCTTGATTTATCCCCAGATGCCTTCATTTAAGCCAAGTTTTGGGGGCAGACAGATGAAACATCACCCAGTACAGACAAGCACACTGAGGGCTATTCTCTTGCAAACAGAACCAAATAAAGTAGGCCTGCTAGGTGAGCCCTCAAGACACCCCAGATCAGGACTGGAAGAATAGACTCTCAGGGAAGGCTTAGGGTAAGCTTCCTGTACCCCCTCCTCCAAATCACCATCTCCTCAGTATCTTTCCGACTGCCAGCTCCCCTAAACAAAGCGCATCCCAGGACCTGAGAGTTGGGGGTGGGGTGGATGATGAGGGTGGTTGCTGGAGTCTCCAAGGAAGTGGGGGAGCAGGCTCTGTAGGTGCCCGTCTGAGGCTCAGTCTTTGAGGGGCTTGGGGAGGAGGGTTTGCTGGAAGCTCTGAGGGGGATCTGTGTGAAGGTATTGGGGCTGGGGGGGGGGGTTGGGGAGCAGGAAGTTGTCCCCAGGGGAGCCATCCAGGCCCATTCAAGGGTTGAGCACTTGTTTAGGGTTAGAGCTGCCCCCTCTGGGGACTGGGATTGTCCAGCCAAGGCCATTGTCCTGCCCCCTTCCCCCCAGTCCCTCCCAGGCCTCTTTGAACCTGAAGTCAGATATTTTTTTTCTCTCCACACCCCTTGGTCTCTACCCAGGAACCGAAGCTGGAGGCTTAGGATGTGTAGGTGGGGGAGGGAGAGACCAGAGCCAGGCTTGCTATGGCTAGAAGCAGCTGCTGAGCACCTACAGTGTGGGGATGGGGAGCTGATAGTTCAGGTTTTGCATTTGGGGACTTGTGATGAAGTTGCCACTTTTTCCTTGGTCGGGATATAGGTTCAGTCAATCCACAGCCAGGACCTATAAGGGAAGTATGTGTATGTGGGTCCGTCCCTTAGTCTGTTAACTGAGGAGTCTTTGGAGCCCAGAACTGAGCTCATCCAGTCCTGTCCATGAATATGCTCTTGGAAATAGACCTTGATGGGCAGATGGGTCCCTAGCCACAAAGCTTTGAGGCAACTGGATTTGGGCAGTATCTGGATGGGAATGCCTAAGTTTTTGAGGTGTGTGTGTGTGTGTGTGTGTGTGTGTGTGTGTGTGTGTGTGTGTGTGTGTGTGTGTGTGTGTGTGTGTGTGTGTGTGTGTGTGTGTGTGTGTGTGTGTGTGTGTGTGTGTGTGTGTGTGTGTGTGTGTGTGTGTGTGTAATGAGCTGCTGGCTTGTGTGATCCTGTTCATGAACTGGATGCTGGCTTGTGTGATCCTGTTCATGAACTGGATTAATGAATTGCATTCATAAATCCTATTAATGAATTGTAGCAACCCATACATGTTCAATAGACATTTGAGAGGGGTGGTTGGGGGTCCTCCAGTGAGGGGACAATGCCAGGGGTCTTTGGGGTGGTGGTTAAACACCCGGTTCCTAAAGAATGTGGAGGTGTCATAGAAAGAATTAATTCTGGGATGCATAAGGCCCAAGAGATGGGGTGTCCAGTCGAGTGTTCCTAATTTTGCCCTTCCCCAGACATCACAGCCAAAACGGGCAAACAGACTTCGCCTCAGTTTCTCCCACCCCCCACCGCCTGCTCCTCCACCCCTCCAGAGGGCGGGGCCAGAGGTCAAGGCTAGTGGGTGGGATTGGGGAGGGAGAGTGGTGCTTGAGTAGTTTTCATTTCTTCAAGGGCCCCGGCTTGGGGTGCCCTTCTTCCCCCATGGCCGGACACCTGCCTTCTGACTTCCCCTTCTCGCCCCCACCAGGAGGTGGGGGCGACGGGCCTGGAGGGCTAGAGCCGGGCTGGGTGGACCCTCGTACTTGGCTGAGCTTCCAAGGCCCTCCTGGTGGGCCTGGAATCGGGCCGGGGGTTGGACCAGGTTCCGAGGTATGGGGGATTGCTCCTTGCCCTCCGCCATTTGAGTTCCGTGGAGGAGTGGCGTACTGTGGACCTCAAGTTGGAGTGGGCCTAGTGCCCCAAGTCGGGGTGGAGCCCTTTCATCCTGAGGGTGAGGTGGGAGCCGGGGTGGAGAGCCACTCGGAGGGGGCTTCCCCTGGGCCCTGCACTGCCCACCCTGGTGCTGTGAAGCTGGAGAAGGAGAAGCAGGAGCAAAACCCTGAGGTGAGCAAGACAGCATGGGGACAGGCTGCCAGAAGCAGCTAGGCTGGCAGTGGCAGCAATTGGGGGCAGGGGTGGTGGTGGTAATGATGGCCTCCAGTTGCCCAGGCCTGGAACCTGTAGGGATCAAAGTAGTCCAGTCACCCTAGGCAGAGATAAGGGGGTGGTGGTGACTTCAGGAAGAATCAGAAGCTAACAGAGATTGTCCCTTGATTCCTCTGGTCCGTTGCTTTGGTCTGGCCTTGGTTAGTTAGTCGCTAAGTACCAGCCCTGCACCTTCTCCAGGGTTTGAGCCTCTTCTCCTGTCCGTCCTCCTTTTTTGGGAAAACATTGTTCCGCAACCAACCTACGATCTTGGCCTTAGGGTTAGGTATGGCCCCCGGGTTAAAAGGCTTCTTATCTGGGGTCATTGTTCCTGAAGGCTAGGGTGTGACTGTTTTCTGATAGGTTGAGTTTGGGCTGTCGGTGTTGAGTGGAGTTGGGTTTGTCTCAAGTCAAGTTTATTGGGCTAGCTTGCCTTCCACCTTTGTAAAAAGCCGGAGGTACTGATTTGCTCGATTCTTGTTTCTTAAGCTGTTTAAAAAAAAAATAAGGAAAAAGGAACTTCAGGAGAAGGTCCCCCAGCCAGTCTGTCTATAAATGCAGGTTCACTTGAGCAACTGCCGGCCTCCAGCCCTGCTAGGACTATTAAAGGTGTATGTTCCGCACCTCAGAAGCAACAAGTGCTAGCAATTAGAGATGAAGTACCAAAACCCTTAACCGCCATTGAAGGTGTGAGTGGAAATCTGGGTGAGGGAGTTGCTCCGGCTGCTGAGAACTAATGGCTGCCAATTTGGGTCCTCTTCCTAAGTGCCTGGCTGTGTGCTCCTTTTAGACATCATTATCTCATTAGCGACACCAAATCTCCGAGGGAGGCATTATTAGCTTATTTCACGGGTCTTAACTGCTGAATGAGAGCAGAACTATAGTTCACTTTATTCCAAATCCTCAAAATCGGATTTGGAAAGGCTGAGCCCTGCGAGAGCAGACTTTTGTGAATGAACATTTGCCTATTTGAAACTGACAGCATCCAGTACTTTTGAAATACTTTTTACTTTTTTAACTTGTTATTATTTTTTTGGTGGTACTGGGGTTTGAACTCACTTGGCTTGCCAGATTGGTGTTCTGCCACTTGACTCTTCCCTTCCCCGCACCCCAACACTTCCATTAAGAATTCTAGGATCATATAAAGACTGTTTCTCTCTGCCTGCTGCTACTCTGTGCTGACCAGCTCTTTCTAGAGTTGCCCTGAGGCTCCTCATTCCTATTGCTCGAACTCCTATCTACTCTTCCTCACTCTCATCTACCCTCAAGGATCACGTGCCATTAGACTTCAGATAACTTCTGAGTTTTTCCACCTTTTGTGAGGATGCCCAGAGTCACCCTACCTTCTTGGGGCTACCCATTTTTTTTTTTTTCCATTCACATCCCGAATTCACTTGTGAGGAAGCATTGTCAACCTGAGCCGTTGTTGGCAGCTCACACCTGTAATCCTAGCTACTCTGGAGGCTGAGATCTGAGGATCACAGTTGGAAGCCAGCCGGGGCAGGAAAGTCCTTGAGACTCTTATCCCCAATTAAATTGCAGAAAAAGCCGGTGGCGCTGTGGCTGAAGTGGTAGAGCGCTAGCCTTGAGCAAATAGGAGCTCAAGGACAGTGCTTGGGCCCAGAATTCAAGCCTTAGGACCAGTTAGTCACATCCTATCCTGTCCTAGCCACTAACATCCATGCTGGGATTAAGGCAGTAGCCTCCCTACAGTAGTGTCACATAACAAGAGCCAATGTTTTAAAATACGAGTTAGATCATTTCACTCAGCTAGCTGAAGTCACCGTAGCTTCTTTTGGATCTGCCTAGCTTATTTGACCTCATTAAATACCACCTTTCAATTTTGTTTATTTATTGTGTTGGTCTTTGGGCTTGGACTGGGGGAGGGGAGGGAGCTGGGTGCTATCCTTCCTTTCTCTCCCCCATTCTCCCTTCTCCTCCCTCCTTCCTTCTCTCTCTTTCTTTTTCTTTCTCCAGTACTGGGATTTGAACTCAGGGCCTGGGCACTGTCTTAGCTTTTTTGCTCAAGGCCAGTGCTCTACCACTTTGTTTTTTTTTTTTTTTTTGGGGGGGGGTGTCTGGTCGTGGGGCCTGAACTCTGGTTCTGAGCGCTGTCCCTCAGCTCTTCAGCTCAAGGCTAGCACTCTACCACTTGCGCCACTTCCAGCTTTTTTTGCTTTTTGCTTATGTGGTGCTGAGGAATTGAACCCAGGGCCTCAGGCATACAAGGCAAGCGCTCTACCACTGAGCCAACTTCCCAGCCCTACCACTTTGTTTTAATAGACTCAAACTTCCTCAAGCTAGGGATGACACTCGGTCAAACACTTGTCTTGAATATTGAGTTAGGCGCAGGGAGTTTACTGTGTAATCTGGCAGGTGTTCTAAGGTGGAGGCTAAGAGCTTGGTTTTCTATCTTCGCATGGTACTCTGTCTACTGGATATGCCAGTTTCTGGGGACATAGCTTCTTGTCACAAGGGGATGAGCAATTGATAATGAGGCTGTTTTGAGCAGATGGTCTGGGAAGCTGAGACATTCCCTCAGACTATTCCTTTGGGATCATAGTCAGCTTCTCAAACCCTGAACACAAAAGGTAGAGTTGAAGCTGGGTGCCAATGGCTTAACCCCTGTTATCCTAGTTACTCAGGAGGTTGATACTCAGAAGGATCATAGTTCAAAGCTAGCCTTGGGCAGGAAAGTCCGCAAGACCCTTACCTCCATTGAACCCATCACAAAGTGAAAATGGAGCTGTGGCTCAAGTGGGTCCAGTGTTAGCCTTGAGTAAATAAGGAGGGACAGATCCCAGGCCCCTCCAACTCCAGGACCACCTCTATCCCCCCATACACAAAAAGAGTTGATAACTGGTATGTCTGTTTTTACAAATTCTCTGCTTTTTTGTTTTGTTTTTAAAATGCAATCTCAGGACAGCAAGGATCTGCAGCAAGAACTTGAGCAATTTGCCAAGCTGCTGAAGCAGAAGAGGATCACTCTGGGATATACCCAGGCTGATGTGGGGCTCACCCTGGGGGTTCTCTTCGGTGGGTTTCCCCCTCCCCTTTGGATGTTCTCATACCATAGTGACCATCTTTTCCTTGGAAGGAGCATTTCCTGAATTTAGGCTTTTCCTCCCCAGCGAGGGAATGAGGGGAGGGTGCTTCAGGAGGCTAGTCTACCCAGTTGGAGGCTTGAGCTGCTTTAGAAGGACCAGGCGGTGTCCTTGAGTGGGAGCTGTGAGGATGGGAAGAGGGGCCTGAGTCTAACACATGTCCGTTCTCTCTCACCTGGCTTCCCCCAGGAAAGGTGTTCAGTCAAACCACCATCTGCCGCTTTGAGGCTCTGCAGCTTAGTTTCAAGAACATGTGTAAGCTGAGGCCCCTGCTGCAGAAGTGGGTGGAGGAAGCTGATAACAATGAGAACCTTCAGGAGGTGAGGGGGCTGTGGTGGTGGTGGTGGGAGGCTGCTTGGCACCTGCATCATCTCAGCCCCGCATCCATTGCTTCCAGCCTTGGCTTGTGGTTCTCCCTTTCCCACATGGGGACAGCGCTGTCTTGTGGGCTCTGGGGCTGGGATTGGAACCCAGGGCTTTTGCTTGCTAAGCATGTGATTTCCCACTGAGGCACCCTGACCCTCCCCACCCCCTCAGCCCAGGACAGCAGTTTGCAGTGGGATGGAGAATGATACGATCCTTCAGTAAGTATCTCTTCTAGGAAAGGATTTGAACCCCTGGGTCTAAACTCCCCCACTTCTGGTATCATCCTTTCTCAGGATCTCCCCTCTCCCAGCTCTGGTGACCATGCCCCTTTAGCAATTGTTGGCAAGTCACTGTCCCTTTGATTTTGGTGATGTTCAGCAAATCTAAAGCCCTGCTTTTGTTTCCTCTCCTGCACCTGCCCAGATATGCAAAGCAGAGACCCTTGTGCAGGCCCGGAAGAGAAAGCGAACAAGTATCGAGAACCGTGTGAGAGGAAACCTGGAGAGCATGTTCCTGCAGTGCCCCAAACCCACACTGCAGCAGATCAACATTATCGCTCAGCAGCTCGGGCTGGAGAAGGATGTGAGTACCTCATGCCCTGGCCCTGTGTTCTCTAACCTCTTTCCCAGCTTAGGGAAGGGGTGGTAAGGCTCCTGTTGTACCACTCCAGGGCTGTTGGCCTTAGGGGAATGACTCAAGTCCTGAGTTTATGGTCTAATGTCATTTTCTCCTGTGTTGTCAACTCCCAGGTGGTCCGAGTGTGGTTCTGTAACCGGCGCCAGAAGGGCAAACGATCAAGCAGTGACTATTCCCAACGAGAGGATTTTGAGGCAGCAGGGCCTCCTTTCCCAGGGGGACCTGTAGCCTTTCCTCTGGCCCCAGGGCCCCATTTTGGAACCCCAGGCTACGGGACCCCTCACTTTGCCACACTGTACTCCGTCCCTTTCTCCGAGGCAGAAGCCTTTCCCCCTGTCCCTGTCACCACTCTGGGCTCTCCCATGCATTCAAACTGAGATGCCTGCCCTTCCTAGAGATGGGGGAACATAGAAAATGGGAGAAGCTAGGGAAGGAGAGCCTGGAGTCTGTGCCAGGGCTTTTGGGATTAAGTTCTACATTCACTAAGGAAGGAATTGGAAGCACAAAGGGGGGGGTGGTGGTCCTGGGGGGAAAGTGGTTAGAGGGAAGGTGAAGTTCAATGATGCTCTTGATTTTAATCCCCATGTTATTCAACTTTGTTCTTGAATAAAGAAGCCTGGGACACAGTAGATAGATAATTCTGTCTTTAGTTTATCCTTTAGTTCCTGAAGAGGGAGCAGAGGTGGAGAAAACTAATGATCCATACTAACTGCTTTCATACCATTTTGAAATGGAGACATCACCTAAATTGCTTTGTTTTTTTTTTTTTTTTGGGTCCGGTCGTGGGGCCTGAACTCTGGGCTTGGGCGCTGTCCCTCAGCTCTTCAGCTCAAGGCTAGTGCTCTACCACTTGAGCCACAGCGCCACTTCCGGCTTTTTTCTTATGTGGTGCTGAGGAATCGAACCCAGGGCCTCGAGCATGCAAGGCAAGTGCTCTACCACTGAGCCACCTTCCCAGCCCACCTAAATTGCTTTGTGTGTATGCATGTACATGCACACTGGGACTTAAACTCAGGTCCTTCATATTCCTGCTTGAGTTTTTGGTTCAAGGCTGGGGCTTCTTCACTGGTATCATCCCTTTCATCATTCTCCCCATCCCTCCCATCTCTGCTCATTTTACCTGCCCTTCCCCTAAGAACCTGACTACATTCCCAGAGCTTTCTAAGAACTAGGAAGCAAAGAGTAGCAAACCCACAAAAAAGCCAGGTCCACAAGAATAAGAACTCAGGGATGAATGAAGCTGCTTATGCTTTATTTCATTTGGAAATAAAAAGTGAAGTTTTGAAAAGCCAGCTCAGTGAAATCATGGTTAGTGACAGGCTGGCCACAATGTAAAAAAGTTTGGGGGCTGTGCTGCAGAATTTTCTCAGAATGCTTTAGGTGATACCAACCATCCAAGAACATTAACAAAGCTGAGCATGTCATGTCGCTCAGTGGTAGAGCTTGCCTAGGAGCCCAAGGTCCTGGGTGTGATCCAAAACTCTGTCATCTTGGCCATGAGTACTCCGTGTCTGAGTCAATGTATTCATAGCCACAGACCTTTGCCTGTAGTTATTCTCTCCTGTGGAGGGAAGGGAAGAAGGAAAGCATCCCTTAATATCCAGTATGTACTCCTTCCATGCCCAATCGTGGACTGGAGGTGCTAGTTCTGTTTCCTTTGACCTGGTGATGGGCCTTAGGTCTGGAGCCCACAGGACACCTTGGACACTGGAAGTCAGCCTCCCTGGCAGCCTGATGCTGATGCCAACACAAGCCATATAGTGCCAGATAGCACATCCATCACACTGAACGCAGGCCACTGTTTCTTGGGGTGGGCTGCAACAGGTGCTGGGCAGGGCTCCCCACCCCAAACTGAGGGGGAATCCAAGGAAGTGCTCACAGAGTGCAGGCCATGTTTATTGAAGGAAGTGATACATACCCCCATCACTGAGAAGCCAAGACTTTACCCCTGGGTAAAGGGTGTGCCCAGGGAACAGTGAGCCTAGCTCTTAAAAGAACTGGAATGGGCTCTCTCTGTTCTTTTCTAGCTCTTTCTCAGCTCTTTACTTCTCTCTCCCAGCTCTCTTCTCTTTTCTAGCTATCTCTTTCCCACCTTTCCTAGATGCTTTCTTTTCTAGCTCTTTTCTCTCTCTTTCCCAGCTCTCTTCCAGCTCTCGCTCTTTCCCAGGCCTTTTTTTCCCAAGCATGTGGAGGGCCAAGATAGCCTGGTGCCAGCCAGAACGATGAATAAACCTACCCCTTACCTGAAAAAAAAAAAAAAAAGAACTGGAATGGGATTATAGTCTTGAATGTAGGAAGCAATCTTAGGGTTGGTGTAGTTTGCCTGATAGAAAAAGATAATCTGGTTCATTCAGCTGGGCATGAAGTAGGTACTCATAATCCTAGAGCTGGGGAGGCTGAGGCAGGATACTCAAGTCTGATGCCATCCTGAGCTACATAGTGAGACACTATCTTAAACACACACAAAACGTCCTCAGCATTTAGTTGGACCTTGACAGGTCTGCCGATGTAAACTAGACTAGTCTCTTAACTGAGTCCTGCCATAAACACCAAATGTTAGGATTACAAATGTGCTCTCCCCCCAAGTCCTGGAGATTGAATTTAGGGCACTGTCCCTGAGCTTCTTTTGCTCAAGGCTAGCACTCTACTTTGAGCCACAGTGCCACTTCTGGCTTTTTCTGTTTATGTGGTACTGAGGAACTGAACCCAGGGCTTTCATGCATGCTAGGCAAGCACTCTACCACTAAGCCACCTTCCCAGCCTACAAGGGTGCTTTTTTTTGGTGGTGGGGGGGGTGGTGTCTATTTTTACTCCCAGTGCTGGGAATCCAACCTGGTGCTTTGGTGCTTGCTAGCCACTACTCCCAGTCTCCCAGGAATTTGTTTCTCACACTTCAGTTGTTTTAACTCTTGCCCCTACCCCAACTGACTTCTTCCTCTGTGCATATGTCAAAACTACTCTGGGGGTCTCGCCATTCCAGTATCTCTTCTGCTTTTGTCCTCTACCCATCCTCACTGAGGCTGACATGACAAGACAGAGGATGCCACTTACCCACTGGATGTCAGTGGGGCTTTCTCCACACGGAGTTTCTTCCTAGGCCCAATAAGTACTGGTGGGGGGCTCTCATCATCCAGTTCTGCCAGCACTCGGTGAGCTGATTTCCTCCGATTTCGTGGGGGTGGGGCAGGTGGGGTTTTCACTTCCCCAGGTGGAGTGGGAACAGGCAGGCTGTGTGGCCCACCCCCACCCCGGGAGAAGGTGAGGGGCTGGGTCCTGAGCTTGCTGAGGCTGCCAATGGAGTTGAGAATCAGTGTGGCCTTGGGGGCAGGGGAAAAGGTGCTGAGGGGTCTCTGTGGGGCCCCCTGGGAAGGCAGCATGGGCTGGAAACCTGTCCCAGCCCCGGCTTCTCCCTTAGAGCGTGGGATGGTAATGGCAGCGAAGTCCTGAGGTTTGACCCGGACTTGTTGGAACATGAAGTAGAATTCTGAGGAGCTGGTTCCTGGGGGCCCTTCAGGGCCAAAGGTCAGGAGGTCACCATCACTCAACTCCAGCCTGTGACCCTTTGGGAGTCGGACATTATTGACCAAAGTCCCTGTTGATGGTGCAGAAGGAAACAAGAACAGAAATGACCAATCAGGAGTAGAGAATCTTGCCCTGTTTGGTTTTCCCCCTGGCAGGTGACACCATCTATAGTGGGAAACAAGTTTATTTGTTTAGTTTTTAATTTATTGGTACCAGTCTTGGAGCTCAAACTCAGGGCCTGAGCATTGTCCATGAGCTTCTTTGCTCAAGGTTAGCCTGGTACTACTTGAGCCACAGTTCCACTTCTGGCTTTTTGGTGGCTAGTTGGAGATAAGAGTCTCACAGGTGGGCTGTGCAGGCTGGCATCGAATTGAAACCCTCAGATCTCAGCCTCCTGAGGACCTAGGATTACAGCCACCACCAGTGGGTAAAAAGTTTACTTTTCTTGTGCTCTCCCATGGATGGGCTTCTAGTTCATTGTGCTTAGGCCTGCTCCCACTCAAAGAACAGGTAGTATATAGCTCAATCTAGTTCAAATCTTGGCTCTACCACTTACCAGCTTTTTTTTTTGGTCAGTTGTGGGGCTTGAACAGGGCCTGGATACTGTCCCTGAGCTCTTGCTCAAGGCTAGCACTCTACCACTTTGAGCCACAGAGCCACTTCCAGTTTTTGAGTGTTTAATGGAGATAATAAGTCTCAGGGGACTTTCTGCCTACCTTGGCTTTGAACTATGATCCTCAGATCTCAGCCTCCTGAGTAGTTAGGATTACAGGTGTGAGCCACTGGCACCTCTTTTGGAAGCAGGGTCATACTATGTGTGTAGCCTAGAGGTCTCAAACTCAAGATCCTTCTGCCTCAGCCTCCCAGAGGCTAGGATTACAGGTGTGTGCCACCAAAACCATCTATGTTTCTTAACCTCTGTGCCTTATTTTCCTTGTTTGTAAATAAGGTTTAGTGCCATGTACATTTGATGCACTTAAAATGGTGCCATAATAAAACAGCAAATTCTTCAATGAGATGTTGGCTATCATAGCCCTCAACATCCCAGAATAGAGAATTCACCAAGCCTTATGTTTTTTACCTATGAGGAAATAAAGCCTTAGAAAGGCGAACTGACAGGCCTGAGGTTTTGCCAGCGGCCAGTGATAGAACTCAATTGTAAACCCAGGTCTCTTATTCTTGCTGGTCCTGGGGCTTGAACTTCAGGTCTGGGCACTTTCCCTGAGCATCTTTGGCTCAAGACTAGCTAGCACTCTACCATTTGAGCCATAGAGCCATTTCCAGACTTTTCTGAGTAGTTTATTGGAGTCTCACAGACTTTCTTGCCCGGGCTGGCTTTGAACTGTGATCCTCAGGTCTCAGCCTCCTGAGTAGCTAGGATTACAGCTGTGAGCCAATGGCAAATCTAGGCCTCTTGAGGCTGCCCTGAATCAGGAAGAAAGATACATATCCAGGTCTCTACATGCATCACAATTGATCTAATACAGAAACAAGGTGCCTTAGCAAAACTGGAAAGTGAGCCAATTCTGAACTTAGGCATGTGGCATTTCACTGTTGATGTCCCCAATCCTGGATCTACCTCTTAGCCTTGTAGAGAAGAAGACAGAGGACTGGATCAGTACTATCTGACTAGGTAGGGACTCTGTGGATACTTTTACTCATTTCAACCTGCTGCTGCCCAGCTCATGGCTCACCTTGGCTGCTGTGGTCCTCCAGGCTGACCCTCCAGTCATCACCTCGTCGCTCAGCATGCAGCTCTGCGTGGACCCCAGAGATGAGGCCTGGCTCCTTCTGGGGTCGCAGGGCTACATCACACAAGTCAGCCCTGCAACCCAAACGATAGGTGCAGCCAGTTCCGGTAGGGGGGTGGAAGGTGTAGAGATCACCGCCCCTGCCTCCCCCTATTCGCAGCAGCTGGAAGCAGGGCAGCATGGGTGGTGCTTAGCTGGAAGCAGGACAGCATGAGTGGGGCTTCATCCGCACCACCTCTTCCACTTCAGGAATCCATCACCTTCGCCAAGCACTAGGCTTAAGTTCACTTCTCAGTCTGATGCAAATGAGCTGTGAAGAAGTGTAACCTCACCTTGGAGTACACAACCTGAATAGCGAGAATTCAGAGTGCCAGCAAGCCTAGGAATGCAATGCAAAACAAACAAAAAGGCTATTATGCAGATTGACAACTAAAAAAATTTCCGAGCAAGTCCTGTTGTAATGCAAAACCAAGTACACTTCCTAGGGCACCTCCGTTGGGCCGTCAAACATCAGGGAAGCCTCCAGTCTGAGTAAAACAACGATTATTAGGCGACTTCGGGATGGAGAGGTCGGTGCACAAACGTACGTGCGAACGCGCACTTCTCATCTCAGCGTAACAAGAAGAGAAGCCGGCTGTCAAGCTTGTTTATCCAAAGAGCACCCCTCCCGTTGGCCCGCGCCCCACTCTTCTGGCCAATTTCTTATTCACAACGTTTGAATCCCTGGGGGAAGTAATCCACCGTCACCCCCAAAGGGCAGTTCAGTGCAAACAGTTCGCTAAATGCTCCAACAAAGCGGACCACATCCCTTGTCATCTCGGCTACTCGGGGTGGGATCAAAAACCGAGAAAGGACCTCCTAACTATCCTGCAAGGCAAACTCCGTCTTCTCCGTTCCTCACCTATCCCAGTTTCAGATCTACCTGCGCGGGGCAGTCTCGGAATGGCCTCGGCTCCAGTCAGTGCCCTGGAGTTCCAGGGTTGGGACCCGCTTGCTCTTCCGCTGCAGTTTGACAGCCAGGAAGCCTGGGCTGGGAGGGGCGCGGCCGGAGCGCGCGGGCAGCTCAGGCCCCTCCTTCGGAATTCCCGGGTCCGACTTCGCGCCGAGCTAGCCCGCCCCCGTCCTGTTTCTGATTGGTCAGCTCATTTGCTCTCCTGTGCTCCATTGGACGGCCAGCTGGGTAGGTCCTCTATCTCCCGCCTTCTGCGTTTTCTGATTAGTTCTCAGGTTTTCCCGGGTTCCTGGAGTGGGGTGGAGCCGTCAGGGCGCGTAGAAGTCTCGACGCGTTAATTAGGCCCAGCCTTAGACTCCACTGCGCTTGCGTGCATCATGGCCTCCTACTTCCGGCGCAAAAAAAAAAACTTTGGAAGAGCCCGCCAGCATACCCGCCTGGCGCATGCGCAATCAGGGGCAGACGCGTCCCGAGCGACGCCTAGGGGGTGTGGCCAGAGGACCGAAGGGGTTTCTCGCGCTGGGTAAGGGGCGTTCGCTAGAGTCAGTTGGGGGCGGGAAGGGGCTGAGCAAGGGGGTCCTGGGGTGGGTTAGGGGACACATAGGGAAGAGGGGTGCAGGAGCCGGGTAAAGGAACAGCTGAGGTGTTCAAAACAGCCTTAGCGCTCAGGGTCCAGCAGGGTGAAGATCCTGGGGTGTTTAGGGGAGGGAAGGGGGAGAACAGCAGGCATTAGCTGAGTGAAGGACCAGATTGTTTGTTTGTTTGTTTTCTTTCTTCAGTATAAAAGCAGACTAGGATGTAGGAAGGGAAATCGCAAGCTCCTGCAAAAAAAAAAAAAGAAAGAAATGAGCTTGGGTTGGGGGGGCCAGGGTGAACGATGCTCTTAAAAACCCCAGACTATGCTGCTATAGGACGCTAGAGATAGGGCAACAGGGATGGAAGCCGAAGGGATACCGGAGAAACACTAAGGGGAAGTTGCAGAGAGGTTTGGATGAGATGTCAGGAAACTGGCTTCTCTGCCATGGGCTTTAGGCTGTCTGGATTTCCAGGGGTCTTAAGGAGACTCGTAGCCCCTGCATGTGGACTCATTGTCCTGGTGCTCTGCCTTGGCCGGGCGCTATGATAGGGAAGGACCCTGGAGTCACGGCTTGGTGGTGCCTGGATGGGCTTCCTCAAAGCCCTGGCGAGCCATGGAGAGAACTCTGGAGATTGGGCTCAAGACCCTTCCGCTGTGTATCTCCTCCTTTCTCACCTCCAGCCCGGAACAGCAGGGATCACAGAAATTTACCGAGGAGGGTAAAGGCACTGCCCAGAATCCTATAAGTAACGAGTAAGGCCTTGTACATTGTTTCCATGCCATGGTTATAGCCCTGTCCTATCAGGAGTCAGGTTGAGAGAAGCAAATGATCTTGGGGTATTTCCTGCCTCTATTGGGAAGTAGGAAGAGAGGGGCTGAGAATTGGGTGGACCTCACTGTAATTTAAGAATTATGACTTTGTTATTGTAGGGGATTTCTCTTTGGAAGGTGACCTGAAAATTGAATTGGAGTGTCCTTATTTCTCCTATTGTCCAGGGGAAGATAGATGGCTGGAGGCAGAATCTAGAGTCTTCAAATAAAGTGGAGATGTTGCCACCTTCAGGTCAGTAAGGCCAGGAAGGGTACGAGATTGCTTCTCCCTCAGAATCTGATCATGGTTGCTCTTGTGATTCCTCAGGTTTCACGGGGCTGATGCCCCCTTCCCACTTCCAAGCTCGGCCCTTCTCAAATCCGCCAAGAATGGCTCCCACCTGGGTCTCAGACTTCCCCGAGGTCCGATCTCCAATCCATGGCTCAGAGAGGCGGATAGACACTCAGCGGCCTCCAGTGACTATGTGGGAACAAGATTTATCTGTCAATATGCAGGGGCCAGGGCGGACAGGCAGGTAGGGAACCAGTGCTTGGTGTACTCCTGTCCTTCAGTGAGCAGATTCCTTAGACTACACATGGTGGCGCACATTTGTAAACAATTGTAGCTACTGGGTGAATGAGGCAGGAGGATCACATTTAAAGCTAGACAGAAATTAAGGCTGGGAAGCTGGCTCGCTGGTGCACTGCTTGCCTTGCATGCATGAGGCCCTGGGTTCGATTCTTCAACACCACTTAAGCAGAAAAAGCCTGAAGTGGCATGGTGGCTCAATGGTAGAGCACTAGCCTTGAGCTGAAGAGCTGAGGGACAGTGCCCAGGTCCTGAATTCAGGCCCCATAACAGACCAAAAAAACAGAACAAAAGAAATAGCAAGGCTGTGAGTTCAGTCTTACTCTATTTTGGCTTGGGTTCCTTAGTGTGTGTGTGTGTGTGTGTGTGTGTGTGATATGTATATTTGTTGCTGAGGATGGAATCCAGGGGCTTGCCTATGGTAGGCAAGTACTACATCTCCAGCCCCAACTTAGTATGTTTCTACATAGGCAGTTATTGGTACCTACAATGCATAAATAATAAGTATATTAGACACTAGTGATGGATATAACAAAAATGAGTAAATGAGATTCTGATCCAGGTGCTGGTGGCTCATGCCACCAGCTACTCAGGAAGCTGAGATCCGAGGACTATAGTTTGAAGTCAAAGTTCAAGGTCCCGAATTCAAACCCCAGTAAAAACAAAACAAACGAAATATACCCCAAAAGCAACATCAAAACAACCAACCAAAAAAAAAAAAGAAAACACACATGACTCTAGTAGATTGTTTTCCAAAGGTTCAGAGAGGTACACCAATGTACTATCCTCCCATATCCTTTTTTTTTGCTAGTCCTGGGGCTTGAATTCCGGGCCTGGGCACTGACCCTGAGCCTGTTTGTGCTCAAAGCTAGCACTCTACCATTTGAACCACAGCCTCACTTCTGGCTTTTTTTCTGTGTATGTGGTACTGAGGTGTTGAATTTGGTGCTTCATGCATGCTCAGCAAGCACTGTACCACTAAGCCTCATTCCTAGCCCCTCTCATATCCTTATACAGTACACCACACACTTGATATAGGCTTGTACCTAGCACTTGGCCTTGCCATATTGATACTGGAAGCTCAGGACCTCCTTATCTCCATGTTGCCTTATGTTTACTTGCCTTTAAGTCAGAATTGAGAAGTCTCTGCATCTTCTAATCTGTTCACTTACAATATATGGGCTCATGATGTGCAATTTAATGTTTAATATATCTATCTGGAAAGATCATGTTCCTTAGGCTCACTAACTCCAAGGTCCTCTGAACCTAGACAGTGGGCTTAATGTTTTTAATAAGGACCTTTTCGATCTTTCTTCCTTTTTCTTCCCCCCCCCCTCTTCCCTTCCTCCCTCCTTTCTTTTCTCCTTGACATGGTCTTGCTCTGTAGCCCAAGGCTGGCTTCAAACTCTTCATCCTCCTTCATCAGACCCCTGAGTGTTGGGATTGCACCAGGTACTGCCTCATTAGGGACATGATGAATGCTGCTACTGATGTGTGACAGAGGTCCCCATCCCTCAGCTTCATCCTCCTTTCTGTCTCCATTTATGTCCTTGGTTGCCCTCCCAACACCAGAGACACATCTTGCCCCTGTACTAACCTGTCTTTGAAGGTCCGTGGAGTTGGAGGGGTCTCAGGCCCTGAGCCAGCAGGCTCAGCTAATCTCTCGGCAGCTGAGGGAGCTGCGGCGGCTAGAGGATGAGGTCCGGACCCTTCGAGAAACCTCTCTGCAGCAGAAGATGAGACTGGAGACCCAGGCCATGGAGCTGGAGGCTCTGGCGCAGGCGGAGAAGGCTGGCCAAGCTGAAGCTGAAGGCCTGCGTGCTGCCTTGGCTGGAGCTGAGATTATTCGGAAGAACTTGGAAGAGGGAAGCCAGCGAGACTTGGAGGAGGTTCAGAGGCTGCACCAAGAGCAGGTGAATGTGAAGGTGGGAGAGGTAGCTGGTCAGGAGCTTCCCAGCAAAGAGCAGACCTCACAGAGGGATTTCCATGAGTGATAGCACAAAGAAATCTTTGATGAAGGAGTATAGTAGATAGCCAGGAAAAAACAGAACTTGGGTGTTTGGATCTTATTCAGACTGCACTTGTCTGCCAAGTGACTTTATACTAGTTGAATCCTACCTTCTTCCTCTAGTAGGAATTAGTCTTCCCTACTTTATTCCAGGTCCCTGATTCATCTGTGAGTGGGGTCAGAGAGTAAAGTGGGGAAGGTGGACATGGGAAAGAGAGATTATTCAGTGAGGAAATTCAGTGCTTTTCTTTGAGATCACTGAGACGGGAACTGGGCACTTAATAATCAGATTATCTGAGTTCCTGTCCTTACAGCCTAATTCAGTACTCACATATTTGACATTGAATGTGATCACAATTAATAAACTGCAGTTTGGAGAAGTTCCTTGAAGGTAAAGGGCAAGGGAACACTAAATCTGGGGTTAGGAAAAGCCACCCTAACCAATGATGTCAAGAAATGAAACCAAAAGGTATTAGGAGAAAATAGGAGTGAATTCTAAACATTGGGGTGGGGAAGGCCTTTCAACCTTAAGCCAAAGTTCAGAGGCCATAAAAAAAGTTGGGCTTTATAATATTAACATTCAAATGACAGAAGAGTAAAGAATAAGTGATAAACTAGAGAAGAATACTTACAGTTCATGGCATAGGAATAGGTTAATATTTCTAGTATGTAATGTGTACCTAAGAATTGGTTAAGGGGAAAACCAGCAATCCTTGTCAGAAAATATACAAAGGTGAGATAGTTAAAAAATACACAATTCAGCCAAGTGTCGGTTGCTCATGCCTGTAATCCTAGCTACTCAGGAGGCTGAGATCTGAGGATCACGGTTCAAAGCTAGCCCCAGCAGGAAAGTCCGTGAGACTCTTATCTCCAGTAAACCACCAGAAAACTGGAAGTGACGCTGTGGCTCAAGTGGTAGAGTGCTTGCCTTGAGCTGAAGAGCTCAGGGACAGTGCCTAGGCCCAGAGTTCAAGCCCCACAACTGACAAAAAAAAAAAAAAAGAATATATATACACACACACAATTCATGAAAGAAACTTAAGAGAAAGGGGACATTTGTGCTGTGCAGGAGTTGGCTGGTCAAGTGGCATATAAGTTAGTAGGGAAGCTGGTGTTGTTGAACACTTACTTAGGTGGGGTACCACATGGAGGCCTGAGCGAACGCAGTGAGGGGGGTTGGGAGTGGGGGCAGGCTGCAGAGCAAGGCATTGGGACCAGCTGAGAACTGTATAACTTCAGAATGATGAGAGCTGGGTGTTGGTGGTTCACACCTGTAATCCTCTCAGGAGCCTGAGATGCACAGTTCCAAGCCAGCCAGGGTAGAAAAGGCCATTAGGCTCCAGTGGTAAAATGCTTGATGAACAAGCAAGCTCAGAGAGCATGTGTTCAAACTTTTTTTTTTTTTTTCTAATTCTTTTTGGGTCTGGTCGTGGGGCCTGAACTCTGGGCCTGGGCGCTGTCCCTCAGCTCTTCAGCTCGAGGCTAGCGCTCTACCACTGAGCCACCTTCCCAACCCCTGTGTTCAAACTCTTAAAGCCTCAGTATTGGTAAAATAAATAAATAGGTAAATAAAAATTATGAGACCTGAGTGTGGTGGTGAATACTTGTAATCCCAGCTACTTCAGAAGCTGAGGTGGGAGGATTGTTTGAACTTGGGAGTTTCCAGACCATTGTGAGCAGTACAGGAGAACCTTGAAGCCAAAACCCCAAACCATTCTTGTAGGACTATTTCTGTAATTTTTTTTGTTTTTGTTTTTGTTTTTTTTTTTGGTCCAGTCGTGGGGCCTGAACTCGGCCTGGGCACTGTCCCTCAGCTCTTCAGCTCAAGGCTAGCGCTCTACCACTTGAGCCACAGCACCACTTCCGGCTTTTTTCTTTTTGCTTATGTGGTGCTGAGGAATCGAACCCAGGGCCTCAGGCATGCAAGGCAAGTGCTCTACCACTGAGCCACCTTCCCAGCCCTATTTCTGTAATTATATACTAGAGAAATTTCTCCAAATACATACAGCACCTAAACCAAATATAAACTCTGCTACCATGTTCAAAAAATTTACCATCAGTATGGATGAGAACTGCTCATTGTCAGAAGTTATAAAATTGCCAACAACAACAAAAAAAAAGATGTTTAACCATTGAAAGGTTTTAATGACATGAGCAGATTTTTTTTTTTTTTGTTGGTCTTGGAGCTTGAACTCTGGGCCTGGGCGCTGTCCCTCAGCTCTTCAGCTCAAAGCTAGCGCTCTACTACTTGAGCCACAGCGCCACTTCTGGTTTTCTGGTGGTTTATTGGAGATAAGAGTCTCATGGATTTTCCTGCCTGGGCTGGCTTTGAACCACGATCCTCAGATCTCAGCCTCATGAGCCACCGCCACCTGAGTAGATTTGCTTTTTTAGGTCCAAAAAAATTGGTGTTGTAGCCGGTGGCTCATACCTGTAATCCTAGCTACTCACGAGGCTGAGATCTGAGGATCGTGGTTCAAAGGCAGCCCAGGCAGGAAAATCCATGAGACTCTTATCTCCAATTATCCATTAGAAAATCAGAAGTGGCATTGTGACTCAAGTGGTAGGGCACTCCCCTTGAGCAGAAAAGTTCAGGGACAGCACCCAGGCCCAGAGTTCAAGCCCCATGACTGACAAACGAAAAACAAACTTTTGTGATTTATATCACTTCTTTATTGTAGTATGGAGTCAGGAAAGGACAGGGGCAGAAGCAAGGGGGCTACTTTCCCTCCTCATTCACCTATCCTACAGTATTAGTTGGCTCTCATGCCCCAAGTGCTGCTTAAAGTAGGGAGAAAAGATAAGATTCTTCCCTTCTTAGAGGATCCTTTTCCATGGGGTGTGGCAAATGGTGAGTACATACTAAAGTAAGAGAATGTCAGATTGGGTACCAGTGCTCAGAAAGCTGAGACAGTGATAGGCCAGAGTGAGGTCATGGGGAGGGATTAAGGGCTAGTGAGACTTCTAAGAAGGGGAGAATGCTGTCTGCAGAATGAGAAGTCCATGTCCAGTAGACTTGCTGTGGCTGGCATGAAGTAATGAGGGAGGGAGCTCAAGAAAGTGGGCCTGGCCAGGGCCACAAAAAGACACTGAAGAATTCTGAAGACCACTCTAGGAGCAAGTGGCCATTGTCCAGGCTTACCTTAGATTGTTGGTAGTTGAAGATGTTTTGGGAGGAACTGTGGATGGATTTGAAATTGAGTGGGGACAACAAGATGTCAAGATGGTCTCCATGTGTCACAGAGTTGGGTGATCTGTTGGGTGGTTCTCTGTGGTCATGGAGTGACACAATTAAAGAAGAGGAAAAGTTTGGAAGGCCTTCCAATATGGGCCCAGCTGGCCCCTGATGAGCCTGCTCTTCTCTCCACAGCTGTCCTCCTTGACTCAGGCTCATCAGGAAGCTCTTTCCAGTTTGACCAGCAAGGCCGAGGGTTTGGAGAAGTCTCTGAATAGTCTAGAAAGCAGGAGGGCAGCAGAGGCCAAGGAACTGGCCATGGCCCAGAAGGAGGCTGAGCTTTTGAGGAAGCAGCTGACGTAAGTGGGCAGAGTGGTTGAGGGGACTGGTGGTGGATACCGTGGAGGTTTCCAGCCTCACTGATGGCTGGCGCATTTCCATCCTACCTTAGCAAGACTCAAGAAGACTTGGCGGCCCAGGTGACCTTGGTAGAGAATCTGAGGAAATACGTGGGGGAACAAGTTCCTCTGGAGGTCTGTGACCAGGCATGGGAACCTGAACGAAAGGAGCTTCTGGACACTGTGCAGGTGGAGGGACTGTCGAGGTGCAGCCCTGGAGGGGGCATTGTGGGAAATCAGGTCAGAATGAGGGCAGCTCTTGGGGAAGTATATGGTCTGAAAGAGGAAGGAAGTGCTGTCCATGGACCCAGACTGGCTGCTGCTGGAGGGGGGCTGTGGAGGCCCTAATTGGCACTGTTCTCCCATCATTTGCAGCACTTGGAGGAGGAGCGGACCAGCCTCCGTGCCACCACGGAGATGCTGCAGGTGCGCGTACAGAGCCTCATGCACATGCTCACCCTGCAGGAGGAGGAACTGACCAGGAAGGTATGGTTCTCTTTAGGCAGTCATCACTTGACCCTAAGGTTACTGCCTGGCCTCCCTGTGAGTCCCTGCTGCAACACTTGCTTGCTTGCTTCTTGCTTGCTTGCTCTCTGTCTGTCTCTCTTTCTTTCTTTCTTTGCTGGTCGTGGGGCCTGAACTCTGGGCCTGGGCACTGTCTATCAGCTCTTCAGCTCAAGGCTAGTGCTCTACCACTTGAGCCACAGCACCACTTGCAGCTTTTTCTGCTTATGTGGTGCTGAGGAATTGACCTCATGCATGCAAGGCAAGCACTCTACCACTGAGCCACCTTCCCAGCCCTCTCTCTCTCTCTCTTTCTTTCTTTCTTTCTTTCTTTCCTTCTTTCTTTCTTTCTTTCTTTCTTTCTTTCTTTCTTTCTTTCTTTCTTTCTTTCTTTCTTTCTTTCTTTCCTTCTTTCTTTCTTTCTTTCTTTCTTTCTTTCTTTCTTTCTTTCTTTCTTTCTTTCTTTCTTTCTTTCTTTCTTTCTTTCTTTCTTTCTTTCTGTCTGTCTTTCTTTTTTGGTCTTGGAGCTTGAACTCTAGGTCTGGTGTTGTTCCTGAGCTCTTCAGCTCAAAGTGAACGCTCTACCACTTGAGCCACTGCGCCACTTCTGGTTTTCTGGTGGTTAATTGGAGATAAGAGTCTTACAGCCTTTCCTCCCTGGGCTGGCTTTGGACTGCGATCCTCAGTTATCAGTCAGCCTCCTGAGTAGCTAGGATTTCATAAATGAGCCACTGGCCCTCCCCCTCCCCCCTGGCTAACCTGTTGGGACCTGTCTTTTCCAAAACTCCTCTTTTTATGTGTGTGTGTCAGTTCTGGAGCTTGAACTCAGGGTCTAGGCATTGTCCCTGAGCCTTGTTGCTTAAGGCTAGTGAACTTGAGCTACAGTTCCATTTCTGGCTTTTTGGTGTGTAATTGGAGATAAGAGTCTTACAGACTTTCCTCCCTGGGCTGCTCTTGAACTGTGATCGTTAGGTCTCAGCCTCCTGAAAAACTAGAATTATAAGTGTAAGCCACTGATGCCTAGCTCAAGCTCCTCCACTTTTTTTGGCTTCACTTCTCAGGCAGGGCAAAGACAAAAACAATCATGGCCCTTCTCCTCTTTGCTTCTCCAGGAATCACACCTTTCTTTTTTTTTTTGGGTCTGGTTGTGGGCCTGAACTCTGGGGCTGGGCGCTGTCCCTCAGCTTTTCAGCTCAAGGCTAGCGCTCTACCACTTGAGCCACAGTGCCACTTCCAGCTTTTTTCTTTTTGCTTATGTGGTGCTGAAGAATTGAACCCAGGGCCTCAGGCATGCAAGGCAAGCGCTCTACCACTGAGCCACCTTCCCAGCCCCAGGAGTCACAACTTTCTTTCTACCTTCAGGTTCAACTTTCAGATTGCCTGGAGAATGAATTTGCTATGAAGTGCAAGTCCCTGCTGCAGCGCTGGCGAGAGAAGGTGTTCACCCTCATGGTACAGCTTAAGTCTCAGGAGATAGAGCACAGAGATTACATGAAGCAACTGAAGGGCCAGGTCAGTGGCTGCGTTTCTCCCTGCATTCTACCGTATGTACAAGGATGGCAGTTATTCAAAAGAATATTTAGAGCCAGTGGTTTATGCCTATAATCCTAGTTACTCAGGGGGCTAAGACGTGGAGGATTGTGGTTTGAAGCCAGCCAGGGCAGAAAAGTCCATGAGACTCCATCTCCAATTAACCATCAAAAAATGTTGGACTGGAGATGTGGCAGAAATGGTAGGGCTCAAGGGGCTGGGAAGGTGGCTCAGTGGTAGAGCGCTTGCCTTGCATGTATGAGGCCCTGGGTTCGACTCCTCAGCACCACATAAGCAGAAAAAAAAGCTGGAGGTGGCGCTGTGGCTCAAGTGGTAGAGATGAAGAGCTGAGAGATAGCACCCAGGCCCTGAGTTCAGGCCCCACAACTGGACCCCCCCCCCCCCCAAAAAAAAAAAAAAAGAAATGGTAGAGCTCAAGCATGAATGAAAAAGCTGAATGAAAGCACAAGACTCTTGAGTTCAAGCTCTGGTGCTAGCACCAAAAAAGAAAAAAGAGTTGGTGTTTGTCACTGCTGAGTGCACAGCACTGAACAAAGCAGATTCAGTGAGATTCAGATTTATAATGAAGACTCAGCAGACAGTTGAATAATGTCAAGCAATTATATGTGTTATAAAACAAAGTGTGAAAGATGATGTGGCAGAGACTGAAGTGAGTCAGCCTTTGGTAGAATAGTCGAGCTATCTTCTCTAGAGAGGTGACAGACACCATCTGAAGATGAATGGTAAGGTCAGGGTGTGTGTGTCTTTGGGGGGGGGGTGGTCAAATGGTGGTTCCTCAAAGTGTGACTATATGAAACATGCTTTTGGAAGGACAATTGGACTAACTGTCCTCAGGAGGCCCAGGTTCTTGTCTCCTCAAGAGGTGTGTGTGTGTGTGTGTGTGTGTGTGTGTGTGTGTGTGTGTGTGTGTGTGTGTGTGTGTGTGTGTGTGTGTGTGTGTGTGTGTGTGTGTGTGTGTGTGTGTGTGTGTGTGTGTGTGTGTGTACACACGCACGCGCACGCATGTGCCAATCCTGGGCTTGAACTGAGGGCCTGGGTGGGTGTTGACCCTGAGATTTTTTTTTTTTTTTTTGTCAGTCATGGGCCTGAACTCTGGGCCTGGGCGCTGTCCCTCAGCTCTTCAGCTCAAGGCTAGAGCTCGACCACTTGAGCCACAGCGCCACTTCTGGCTTTTTCTGCTTATGTGGTGCTGAGGAATTGAACCCAGGGCCTCATGCATGAGGCAAGGCAAGCACTCTACCACTGAGCCACCTTCCCAGCCCCGTCCTTGAGATTTTTGCTTAAGGCTAACACTCTACCACTATAGCTACACCACTTCCAGTGTTTTTGGTGACTAACTGAAGGTAGAGTTTCACAGACTTCCTTGCCCAGGCTGGCTTCAAACTGCAATCCTCAGCTCAGCCTCCTGAGTAGCTATGATTACAGGTGTGAGCCACCAGTGCCTGACTTATGGCTTTTTTTTTTTTTGGCTGTGGGGCTTGAACTCTGGGCTTGGGCGCTGTCTCTGTGTTCTTGAGCTCAAGGCAAGTGCTCTACTGCTTGAGCCACAGCGCACCACTTCCAGTTTTCTAGAGATTTATTGGAGATACAAGTCTCATGGAATTTCCTGCCTGGACTGGCTTTGAACCACGATCTTCGGATCTCAGCCTCCTGAGTGTTTAGGATTACAGGCATGAGCCACCAGTGCCCAGCAACTTATGGCATTTCTTAAGAGATTTTTTGCCCCTGTCTATAACCCCTAGTTTCCCCCCCTCCCCCCCATCCTGGCCCAATGGCCTTTGGCTCTAGACTGTGTTAAATAATTCCCCTCTTCTCCCAGGTGGCTGAGCTTCAGGAACAAGTGACAGTCCAGAGCCAAGAGCAGGCCATCCTGGAGGGCTCCCTTCGGGATAAAGCTGCTGAAGTGGAGGTGGAACGGATGGGCGCCAAGGTCTGAGTGTGAAGCAGAGTCTTAGAGAGGATGAGGAAGCCCCTGGCAGGAGTCTGTGTGCCAGGCATGGGAGAGGCATCTTATTCTTTACCACATCCTCCCAGTCCTTGCAGATGGAGCTGAACCGGGCTCAGGATGCCAGGCGGCGGCAGCAACAGCAGACAGCATTGGCTGAGGAGCAGCTGAAGCTTGTGACTAGTGCTGTAAGCAGGTATCTGCCATGGAGGGGTGCGTGGTTGAGCACTGCTGCTTTCCTGGCTTCTGAGCCACCTTGGAATTGGAGAATCTCAGGCAAGACAGACAAGAAAGCTGGCAGCTAGAAGGAGATGGCCTTTTGAAAGCTTCTGCGTCTGATTTCTCCTGGGCACTCCATCTCTATTACACCAGAGCACATTCCACTGTGCTCTGTGGAATGAGGCCGGTCTCCTGCCTGCTTCTTTTTAAAGCTTTCTTTTTCTTTTTTTTTTGGGGGGGGGGTCCGGTCCTGGGACCTGAACTCTGGGCCTGGGTGCTGTCCCTCAGCTCTTCAGCTCAAGGCTAGCGCTCTACCACTTGAGCCACAGTGCCATTTCCGGCTTTTTTCTTTTTTGCTTATGTGGTGCTGAGGAATCGAACCCAGGGCCTCATGCATGCAAGGCAAGCGCTCTACCACTGAGCCACCTTCCCAGCCCCTCCTGCCTGCTTCTTGTAGTAGCAGTTTGAACTAAGTAGAGCTGCGGGGAGGATCTCTACCTTCAGAAGTATTCAAGGGTAGTGAATGGATACATGCTCTTTTCTTTTTTTTTTCTCTTTAATAGGCATTTCCTGTGTACTTGGGAAAAAAATTTAATCTATTTATTTGAAGCTATTCCTATTTGTTCACTAGATACTCATTTAAAATACTGGTAGTTCTTGCCTGTAATCCTAGCTACTCATGAGACAGATTTGAGGATCGAGATTTGAAGCCATCATAGGTGGAAAAGTCTGAGACACTCTATTTCCATCTAACCTCCAGATTGGAGGCATGGTTCAAGTGGTAGAGCACCTACTGTGAGCAAACAAGCTGAGTGAGAGTCCAAGGCTATTAGTTCAAGCCCCAGTATCAGCACAAAAATAAATAAGCTCTACATAAAATAAATATCATAGGCTGGGAATATAGCTTAGTGGTAGAGTGCTTGCCTAGCATGCATGAAGCCATGGGCTTGATTCTTCAGTACCACATACACAGAAAAAGCCAGAAGAGGCTCTGTGGCTCAAGTGATAGAGTGCTAGCCTTGAGCAAAAGAAGTTCAAGGATGGGCTGGGAAGGTGGCTCAGTGGTAGAGTGCTTGCCTTGCATGCATGAAGCCCTGGGTTCGATTCCTCAGCACTACATAAGCAAAAAGAAAAAAGCTGGAAGTGGTGCTGTGGCTCAAGTGGTAGAGCGCTAGCCTTGAGCTGAAGAGCTGAGGGACAGCGCCCAGATGCAGAGTTCAGGCCCCACAACCAGACCCCCCCCCCCAAAAAAAAAAAAAAAAAAAAAGTTCAGGGATAGTGCCCAGGCCCTGAGTTCAAGTCCCAGGACTGGCAAAAAAAAAAAAAAAAATCCAAAACAACAAAAAAAAACCCAAAACTAATAATAATAAAATAATATAAATGTCAGGTCTGGAGCTGTAGCTTAGTGGTAGAGTGTTCCCTTAGCATGCAAGAGGCCCTGGATTCCATCCCCAGTACCAAAAAAAAAAAAAAAGTGGGGACATTTTAATTTTCATGGAATTCAACTAGTTATAAGGAAGCACTCTCCAGTTTCAACCCATTGCAAGCACCTTGTCTCTCTAGAACAGAAAGATAAGCCTTTGACAAAGTTCTACTTTGGAACCAGGAGAAATGATTCTTATTACTGATTTATTACCCCCAAAGTCTTCCAGGCTTAAAGTAATCAAAATTCTAGGTTGTTGCCAGGTTTGTTATGGAGTCTTTATATGATCTAGAGAATTTATCAGGAAATGGCTTCAGTAAGAATCACAGTAAGGGGCTGGGAAGGTGGCTCAGTGGTAGAGTGCTTGCCTTGCATGCATGAGGCCCTGGGTTCGATTCCTCAGCACCACATAAGCAAAAAGAAAAAAGCCGGAAGTGGCGCTGTGGCTCAAGTGGTAGAGCGCTAGCCTTGAGCTGAAGAGCTGAGGGACAGCGCCCAGGCCCAGAGTTCAGGCCCCATGACTGGACCCAAAAAGAAAAAAAAAAAAAGAACCACAGTAAATGTTGATGAAAATGGTCTTTATTATGCTGCCAGCTTTGTCATTGTTTTTCTGTGGGAAGAGACTTGTACAGTTCTCTGAGATTTCAGCCCTGCCCCCTGATACTCACTGGCTCCTCCCTGCAGGCCTGTTTCACTTCTCAGTTTTACTGAACCATGTGAGTCCAGCGCTAGCACAGCCAGTTGATAAACCACGTGGAGCATTCATTGCTAACAGGGAATCTACACTCTGGGCTCACTCCAGGGGTACCTGAGTTCTTGTGCATAATAGTGACCAAAAAAACAGGTTGAAATCGAATATGGTAGCTCATGCCTGTAATCCCAGCAGGAGGATTTTGAGTTCAAAGCCAGCCTAGGATAAATATTAAGAGTTGTCTCAAAAAAATAGTGAGCCAGGCACTAGTGGTTCATGTCTATAATCATAGATACTCAGGAGGCGGAGATCTGAGGATCACGGTTGAAGCCAGCCATGACAGGAAAGTCTATGAGACTCTTATGTCCAATTAACTGCCAGAAATGCTGGGAGTAAAGTGGATCCTCAGAATCTGAGGATCTGTGATCCTCAGGATCTCAGCCTCCTGAGTACTAGAATTACTGGTGAGAGCCACCAGCATTCGGCTCCACTTTTATTTACTTATTTTTTTAAGATGTGGAAACTGGATCTTTTTTTTTTTTTTTTGGTGTTTGTGGGGCTTGAACTCTGGGCTTGGGTGCTGTCCCTGCACTCTTCAGCTCAAGGTGAGCCCTCTACCGCTTAAGCCACAGCACCACTTCCAGTTTTCCAGTGGTTTACTGGAGATAAGAGTCACGGACTTTCCTTCCCTGGGCTGGCTTTGAACCGCAATCCTCAGATCTTAGCCTCCTGAGCAGCTAGGATTACAGGCGTGAGCCACCAGTGTCCGGCTTTGGATCATTTTTATCTAACAGTCACTAAAGCCTCAAACTCTCAGATTTCAGATTCTCCTCCTCTTCTTCATCCTCTTCATCTTCTCCTTCTCCTTCCTCTCCCTCTCCTCTCCTCCCTCTACTTCTTTCTTCTCCTTCTCCCTCTCCTTCTTCTTTCTTCCTCCCTCTTCCTCCTCCTCCTTCCTCCTCTTCCTTCCTCCTCCTTCCTCCTTCTTTTTCCTTTTTGCTCCTCCTAAGGAGCTTGGTTATGATTTAGAGGGGAGCTCTAGCACCAAGTCCTGCACTTAGTTTCTGCCTCTCTGTGGCTTCACCTTGTCTTTTCCTAACTTCTGTCCCCTTCCCCTCCTCGATCACTCAGTTAACAGTTACATAGAGATGTTTGCAGAAGGCCCCACAGGTCCTTTAGGGATGAGGTGAGGGTGGAGGCTCAGTGACATATACTTTCCCCAGCTCCCAGATGTGCTTCCAGAGCAACATGATAAAGGTGGAGCAAGCAGTCGCCCGGCTTCCCAGTCTCGCCAACAGACTTAGCTACGCCGTCCGCAAGGTCCACACCATTCGCGGTAGGTTGAGCAGCTGTGGCACCACTGGCTCCAGCCTTCTTCCCAGCCTGCTCTACAGCCCCACATCCATGCGTCTATTCCCTGTATCACATTTCCCTTCCTTCCCCCGCCTTCCCTTTCAGCCCTGCAAACTCATCTCTGTTCTCTGCCTTTTCCCTCCTAGGTCTGATGGCTCGAAAACTTGCCCTTGCTCAACTGCGCAAGGAAAGGTGAAGTTTGGGTACTTTGAGGTCAGGGCAGGGGGTGGGGGGTTGCTGTGTGCATTTGGGGAGCATTTAGGTGTTAAACTGCTAGAAGCCAAGGGATGGAGGCTCAAGTGGTCATGCAGCTGTTGTTGTTGTTGTTTTTTTTTTTCTGTCCCAGTTGTCCTCCACCCTTACCCCCAACCTCAGTAGACTCGGACATGAACCTGGAGTTGCAGCAGCTTCGGGAAGAACGGAACCGCCTAGATGCAGAGCTCCAGCTGAGTGCCCATCTCATCCAGCAGGAAGTGGGCCGAGTGCGGGAACAAGGTACAACTGGGTGGATGGATGGATGGGTGGGGGGTAGATGGGTAGATGGATGGATGGATAGATGGGTGGATGGGTGGGTGGTGGATGAATGGATGGATGGATGGATGGGTGGGTGGTGGATAGATGGAATGATGGATGGATGGATGGTGGATGTATGAGTGGGTGGGTGGTGGATGGATGGATGGTTTGTGTGTGTGTGTGTGTGTGTGTGTGTGTGTGTGTGTGTGTGTGGTGGTTGGATGAATGGGTAGGTAGTGGATGGATGGATGGATGGGTGGGTGGTGGATGAGTAGATGGTAGATGGATGGATAGATTGGTGGGTGGGTGGTGGATGGATGGAATGATGGATGGATGGATGGTGGATGTATGAATGGGTGGGTGGTAGATGGATGAATGGTTGTGTGTGTGGGGGGGTGGTGGTGGTTGGATGAATGGGTAGGTAGTGGATGGATGGATGGATGGGTGGGTGGTGGATGGGTGATGGATGGGTAGGGATATGGGAGGCATGGAAGATCTGAGGAGAATAATGTCTCCCTCCTAGGGGAGGCAGAGTGTCAGCAGCTGAACAAGGTGGCCCAGGAGCTGGAGCAGGAGCTACAGCGTACCCAGGAGTCCCTGGCCAGCGTGGGGTTGCAGCTGGAAGCAGCTCGTCAGAGCCAGCAGGAGAGTACCAAGGAAGCTGCCAGTCTCCGGCAGGAGCTGACCCAGCAGCAAGAGATCTACGGACAAGGTGTGGGATGGGCATGGTGCTGCTGTGGAGGTGGGAGGCTCCTCCTGATGCTCCCCATTGCACCTTTTTTTCTTTGTGCCAGTCCTAAGGCTTGAACTCAGGGCCTGGACACTGGGCTTGAGTTGTTTTTTGTTTTTTTTTTCTGTTGGTTGTGGGTCTTGAACTCTGGGCTCTTCAGTTCAAGGCAAGTGCTTTATTTACCACTTGAGCCATAGTGCCGCTTCCTATTTTCTGGTGGTTAATTGGAGATAAGAGTCTCATGGACTTTCCCACCTAGGCTAGTTTGAACCTCGATCTTCAGATCTCAGCCTCTTGAGTAGCTAGGATTACACGTGTGAGCCACTGGCACCTGGCCCCATTGTACCTTTGATTCCAGCTCTGCAAGAGAAAGTGGCTGAGGTGGAGAGTCGGCTGCGGGAACAGCTCTCAGACACAGAGAGGAGACTGAATGAGGCTCGAAGGGAGCAGGCCAAGGCTGGTGAGATGGGGTCAGGGTGGAGGTGGCCCTATTATTATTTACTTATTTATTTTGTTTTATTTTTTGTCAGTCATGGGGCTTGAGCTCTGGGCCTGAGGGCTGTCAGCTCTTCAGCTCAAGGCTAGCACTCTTCTACTTGAGCCACAGTGCCACTTCCAGGTTTTTTTAGGGGGTGGCTTATTGGAGATAAAGAGTTTCCTGGCCTTTCCTGTCCAGGCAGGAACCATGATCCTCAGATCTTAGCCTCCTGAGTAGTTAGGATTACAGGTGTGAGACATTGATGCTCGCTTATTATTACTATTACTATTATTATTATTATTTGCCAGTCCTGGGGCTTGAACTCAGGGCCTGGGCACTGTTCCTGAGCCTCTTTGTGTTCAAGGCTAGCACTCTACCACTTGAGCCACAATGCCACTTCTGGCTTTTTCTGTGTATGTGATACTGAGGACTTGAACCCAGGGTTTCGTGCATGCTAGTCAAGCACTCTTATCACTAAGCCACATTCCCAGTATGGCCCCTATTTTTTTTTTTTGTTGGTCATGGGGCCTGAACCCTGGGCCCGGGCGCTGTCCCTCAGCAGGTCAGCTCAAAGCTAGCCCTCTACCACTTGAGCCATAATGCCACTTCTGGCTTTTTCTGCTTATGTGGTGCTAAGGAATCGAACCCAGGGCTTCATGCATGCAAGGCAAGCACTCTACCACTGAGCTACCTTCCCAGCTGGTCCCTATTATCTTTATTGAAGCATGCAAGTTAATAAATGGAGGAATGACACAAATGAATTCTCTTGTAGTAAGAAGCAGATCAAGAAACAGTATGTGAACTAGGTGTTGATGGGTCACACCTGTAATCCTGGCTGTTATGGAGGCTGAGACCCATTGGCTCTTGGTTTAAGCCAGCCTGTGCAGAATAGTCTGGGAGACTCCATCTCTAGTTAACCAGTAAAAAGTAGAATGGAAGTATGGCTAAATACCTGTTGAGCAAGCAAGCTTAGTAAGTGCCAGGCCCTGAGTTCAAGCCAGAGTACCCCCAAAAAAGGCTAGTTGTGTGATGAGTTGCAGAGCCGCTGGACTGCAGATCCAGTCACCACCTTTCAACAAATGCCATCAGGATCCCCATCATTATTAGCAGCTTCCCCTTAAACACAATCTTCAAACACCTGGATGAGTTAGAGTCACATAATTAGTGACTACTCATTTATATAATTCAAGTAGATAGGACAGTTACCATTTGCCGCATTTGCTCTCTCATTTATTCCCTCACACATTTCTTTTCTTTTTTTTTTTTTTTGGGTCCAGTCATGGGGCCTGAACTCTGGGCCTGGGCGCTGTCTCTCAGCTCTTCAGCTCAAGGCTAGCGCTCTACCACTTGAGCCACAGTGCCACTTCCGGCTTTTTTCTTTTTGCTTATGTGGTGCTGAGGAATCGAACCCAGGGCCTCATGCATGCAAGGCAAGCACTCTACCACTGAGCCACCTTCCCAGCCCACACATTTATTTTCTATTTTTATTTTTTTTGGTTGTGGAGCTTGAACTTAGGGCCTTGTTGCTGTCCCTGAGCTCTTTTACTCAAGGCTAGTGCTCTATCATTTGAGCCACATCACCACTTCCAGCTTTTTCTGAGTAGTTATTGGAGATAAGAGTCTCACGGACTTTTTTGCCCAGGCTGGCTTCAAACCTCGATCCTTAGATCTCAGCCTCCTGAATAGCTAGGATTACAGGTATGAGCCACTGGCACCTGGCCACACATTCATTTTTGATGTTATTTATTTATTTTTTTTGTCAGTTGTGGGGCTTGAACTCTGGGCCTGGGCACTGTCCCTCAGCTCTTCAGCTCAAGCAAGACAAGCACTCTACCACTTGAGCCACAGTGCCACTTCTACACATTCTTTTTTTTTTTTTTTTTTTCAGTACTAGGCTTTGAATTCAGGGCTTCTTGCTTGGTGGGCAGGTGCTCTACCTACGGCTTAAGTCCCTCATTAATATAATTTTAAGTTATCTCTGGTCTTTTTTTTTTTTTTTTTTGCTGGTATTAGGGCTTGAACTAAGAGCCTAGGCTCTGTCCCTTAGCTTTTTCACTCAAGGTTAGTACTCTATCACAAGAACCACTTCTGGCTCTTATGGTTAATTGAAAATGAGAAGGACTTTACTGGCCAGGCTGGCTTAGAACTTGGATTCTCAGATCTCAGCTTCCTAAGTAGCTAAGATTATAGGCATAAGCCACCGGTGCATTCATTTTATAAGGGTAGAGGGTGGGAAGATGGACCGGGTCCTTGGAGCTGATATCAGCTCACCCTGTCCACTGTACCAAGAAGACACAGAGCAGAGTCATTTCCCAGCGGGAGCCAGTGTTCCTGGCCTGCATTCCAGTCTCAGATTTGCGGTAGCTGGCTCCCGCACTTACCTGACTTTTCTGTAGTGGTCTCCCTGCGCCAGATCCAGCGCAAAGCCACCCGGGAAAAGGAGCGGAACCAGGAACTCAGACGTCTGCAGGATGAGGCCCGGAAGGAAGAGGGGGAGAGGCTGACTCGAAGGGTTCAGGAGCTGGAGAGGGACAAGAACCTCATGATGGTAGGAGATAACACACCAGAGCCCACGGTAGACTGGTTGCTGGGTAAAGAGGTGGAAGCAGGGGGGGGAGGCTCTGCTGGGGCTAGGTGGCGTTTAACCCTCTCCTTCCCAGGCCACCTTGCAGCAAGAGGGTCTCCTCTCCCATTACAAGCAGCAGCGGCTGTTGGCGGTTTTTCCCTCCATATTGGATAAGAAGTTTGTGGAGTCCAGCCCCTGGCCTTTAGGATCCACAGCATCTGCACCTTCAGCCACCGCCCTGCCCACCAGGGGATCCATAAAAGGTAATGGACTAAGCAGAAGGGGTAGGGGCAATCAGGAGTCTCCATCCTGATCTCATGCCTGTAATCTAGCTACTCTGCAGGCTGAATTCTGGAGATGGAGGTTTTAGGCCAGCAGAAAAAGCCGGAAGTGGCGTTGTGGCTCAAGTGGTAGAATGCTAGCCTTGAGCTGAAGGGCTGAGGGACAGCACCCAGGCCCAGAGTTCAGGCACACTACTAACAAAAAAATAAAAAAAGGCAGACTGGAGGCTTAGCTCAAGTAGTAGAGCGCTAGCTGAGCAAGGAAGCCAAACAAATGTGAAGTTTAATGTTCAAATCCCCATATTGTTAACAAGGGGAAAAAAGGAGGAAAAAAAGGCCCCTCAGCCTTTGTTATCCCTACTTACCCTAGACCCTCCCATCCTATGCAGTCCAGAGCCTTCTCTCACCTTGACATCTGTCCCTTGGTGTCTTCTTTCCCAGGGTCCCTCTCTCTCCTGCTTGATAACCTACAGGGTCTAAGTGAGTCCATCTCCAAGGAGGAAGCCATTTGTGAAGGAGACAACCAGAACTCTCCCGCTCCAGTCCATGGCTGAGCAGCTAAGCAGCTAAGCAGTAGAACTCAGAGGGAAGCCAGTCTGGGGCTGGATCCCCAGGAGGATAAGAGGATCCAGGAGAAATGGGGTGAGGGCAGTCCAGCCCTCATCACCATCCAGCCTTGGGGACATCAGCCTCCACCATGTCTGAATTCTCTCGCACTAAATAAAGATGATTGTGGTAGAGCCCTGGTTTGAAATGTCGGCTTCAGAGGCATACGGCCATCTTCCTGGGGCTCTGCCAAGTGGCCCTCCACAGCCACTCTGGTGGTACCTCCTTCCACACCCCTTTCCTAGCTAGTCTACTTTGTGTTTCTTTATTTGATCAATTGATTGATTGATTGTTGCTGGTCCTGGGGTTTGAACTCGGCCTACGTGCTCTCCCTGAGCTTCTTTTGCTCAAAACTAGTGCTCTACCACTTGAGTCCCAGTTCCACTTCTGTTTTTTTTTTTGGTGGTTTTATTGGAGATGAGAGTCTCATAGACTTCCCTGTGTTGGTTGGCTTTGGACAATCCTCAGATCTCAGCCTCCTGATTAGTTAGGATTATAGATGTGAGCCACCAGCACCTAGCTTCCCAGCTTTAAACTCTCCTCTGAAAGATGCCAGGAGCAGGAAGTTAAATATTCCCTTATTCAAGAAGAATCTTAGCCAGACTGTCCTAGCTGAAGCCACAGTGATTGATGGGCCATGCCTCTGAGCCCAGGCACCTACATTCTAATGGGAAACAAAAATAAGCACTACAGGATAAATAAGAGGCCCCTGACAGTGCTAGCAAGGTAGAGTGAGGCAAGGGAAAGAATTTGACAGCATTAGATGAGGGGACCTTGTGCTGAGCCAGGAGGGCTTAGTGGGTCAGAGGATGTTGGGAAGAAAAGACCAGTATAAGGAGTTTGGGTTTTATTCCAAGTTAATAGAACATATACTTAGGGGAGCAAGGTGATCTGACTTGCATTTTGGGGGAGGACAGTATTGGGGCTTGAATCCTGGACCTGGGTGCTGTCTCTGAGCTCCTTTTGCTCAAGGCTACCATTTAAACCACATTGCCACTTCTGGCTTTTTCTGTGATTGGAAATAAGAGTCTCATGGGCCTTCCTGCTCAGGCCGGCTTTGAACTGCCATCCTCAGATCTCAGCCTCCTGAGTAGCTAGGATTACAGGCATGAGCCACCAGTGCCCTGCTCTGACTTGCATTTTACAGGTGGTGTGAGGGAGGAAGAGCAGAAGAGTGGGGGAGGCTGGGGTGAGGTGTGGTCTGTGGCTGGAATGGGGGATTGCAGGTAGGGTAGTGAGGGAAGGGATGTTGGTCCCCACAGGAGCCAGGAATATGACATCAGTGTCACTGAGAGATGCTGGCTGAGTGGGAACAGCTTGGGGAGGAACTGCATTCTAGAAGGAGCTGTGAGGCACAAGTGTGCTGAGACTTAAGAGGAGGGAACATAGAACTGGGCCCTGGACCAAAATGGGGTTGGGAAGGGGAGGGGGTCCTGGGGTTACCCATGGTGCAACTCCTTGTTTCCCAGCCTCTGGGCTAGACCTGGTGCAACCAGCTCTGTGTGGGGAGAGGAAACCAGGATATCTTTGTCTCCTTCTTCCGTAGCCACGCCAGGGTGGGTCCTGGGTGGAAGAACTTGGGTGTCACTGCTTGGGAGTCCCCTTATGACTGAAGAGGGCCTGTGAGCCAGCCAGCAGCATGCCTGGTCCCTAGGGAGTGGAAGTGCCAGGCTAAGTAAGAAGTCAACCCCTCCCCCCACCCGCCCCCCAAGATAAGGGTGAGGGGCTGAGGCTGGAGTGCTAGCTCACACTGCCTCACTAACATCCCAGGTTTCAAAAGCGCCCCCCCCCCCCAGCTTTGGCATTCTGCCTGCTGCCCTGTAATTAATAGTGCTTCCCCACGCAGGGTTTGCCCCTATTTTTTTTTTTTTTTTGGCTTCAGTAAGAGATCCAGATGAAAGGTGGATGTCCCTGTGATTATGGAGATGAATTGGTTGCTGTGGGGTGTGGGTAGACAGGGTGTAAAAACAAAGGTGGGGTGACTCAGGGTCTGGGTCATTGATAGGGGAGAGCTGGCAGTTGGGTACAGGGCTGGGGGACTAAAATGAGAGACGCCATGCTACATTAGCTAGGGCCTTCCAAACGGGTTCAACCAGTTAGGTTCTAATGGGATTCCTTGGTCACTGGTCTGGCCCCTCCCCCCAAGACTGACTTCCTCCTCTCCCTCCTCCCCTATAAATCCTCTTGGGGTTCCCAGGCACCTAGACTCAGTGCACCCCACCTTTGGGGGCCGGTGGACAGCCATGATGCTTAACTGGAAGCTGCTGGGACTCTTGGTCCTTTGCCTGTGTGCCGGAGGTGAGCCGGGGAGAGGCCAGGAGTGTATTTGGCGGGATGGACATGGCCCAGATGACCCATCTTTTATGTAGTGAAGGTGGCCACAAAGAAGGACAGGGTTGAACTGGAGGTGCCCAGGAATGGAGGGGATTCTGGGCATTAAGGGGAAGAGCTTTGCTTGGCTCAGGGGAAGCCGGGTGGCAATCTCAATGTTCAAGTGTGAGGGGCTGTTGGAGCTGTTGTTCATGGTGGTGGGGTTGCTGTGGAGTGGGGTCTACATGCTGCATGGGATCAAGGTGTAGACCATTTTGGGTGCAAATGAGTCTGGTAGAAGGGGGTGTTGGTGGGGTTTCCCAGCCACATTTAAATGGAGTTTATTTGGTGGGTTTCCAGGCTTCTTAAAGTAGGTCAACTGCATGGTTCAGTCAGTCCAGGGTTTCAACGTCACCTTAAGATTTCTGGGGTATATTTGGGAAATGTTTACAGGGAATGTGGGATGTCACTTTGAGCGTTGTTCATGGTGTCTGCTCAGGCTGTGTCCCTCCCAGAGAGGAGGGAAGTCGCCCTTACCATCTCTTACCATTTTTCCTTCCTCTTCCACAGGCATCTCAGGCAGTGGGGACCAACTCCCTACCCCACCCACAGAGTCTACAGAGGAGGAGAGCTCCCCCATACTGCCTCAGGGTCCCCCAATCCCTGGTGACCCCTGGCCAGGGGCACCCCCCCTCTTTGAAGACCCTCCACCTCCAGGCCCTAACCGTCCCTGGAGAGATGTATCTACAACTGGTGTCTGGCCCCCTGAACCCCCTAGCACTGAACCTCCTCAACCTCCCAAGCCTGATGACCCCTGGCCAGCAGGGCCTCAGCCTCCAGAAAACCCATGGCCTCCTGCCCCAGAGGTGGACCATGGTTCTCAGGAAGAGCCAGACCTCGACCCACCCCAGGAAGAATACAGATAATGAGGACCCCCCCCCCCCGACAGGTGACTTGGGCCTCCAGGCAGAGTGCCCCCAAGTTCACCTCTACCCTTCTGCTTCCCCTTAAAATTGTTCCAGTTTTGTCGAATTCCCTTCCTCATTCCCTCAGTTGTACTCTGAACTCAGATGGTGTCCTTAATACTGCCCGTTCCTCTGGCGGCCCATTTTCAGCTTCTCACCTTCTTCCTTTCTCTGACCACAAAAGCACACTCTCCTACCTCAACTGTGCTTCTTCCCCAGACCCCCTTCCCCTTCCCCTTCCCAGTCTTTCCCAACGTGGTAATGCCAGGGAGGCTCGGCAACATTGTATTCAATGCTGCCATCTAGTGGCCGTTGGCTGGAATTCATCTGTTGCCAATGACGGTGCTTCCATGAATTGGAAAAATAAAAACCATGGTTTCTTAATTTTAACTGTAGGCTACTTCTTTATCAGTGCTTATCTTTTTATATATTCAGATGCCGTCCTCTAAGCTCTAAATTAGAAGTAACTTGAGTTCCTGTCTTGCCTAGATAGAGTGCCAATGGATTGTGGGGCTCAGCTGGAGGAGGGATGGAAATGAAACAGAGGTCACATGGATTCTCATGGGGTGTGGGAGGGTGGGGAAAGGAATATGAAAGACCCATGTTTTTTCACTTCTACTCTACTGAAGAACAAGAAAATATGTTAGGTCTTTCTTTAAAGGCTTTTGATTTCATACCTTTGGTCTCTGCTATCTTTCCCAAGGGTGTGTGTGGCTAGGTTAAGCGAACCCATTTCCAGACATATGTGTACCCCCTTGTGAATTTCTTGCTCACTCAGCCTGACCATGGAGCTGGTCAGGAGCTACCAAAAGCTGATAGGAATACAAATCTGCCATTTTATTTTTTTTTTGGGTCCGGTCGTGGGGCCTGAACTCTGGGCCTGGGTGCTGTCCCTCAGCTCTTCAGCTCAAGGCTAGCGCTCTACCACTTGAGCCATAGCGCCACTTCCGGCTTTTTTTTTTTTTCTTTTTGCTTATGTGGTGCTGGAGAATCGAACCCAGTGCCTCAGGCATGCAAGGCAAGTGCTCTACCACTGAGCCACCTTCCCAGCCCAAATCTGCCATTTTATGAGCTTCAGGTATAGCCCAGGTGATAGAAGAGGCTCTGAGTTCAATATCTACTCAGAAAAAAAAAAAAAAGTGTTTCAAGCTGGGTGCCCATGCCTCATGCCTGCGCTCATGCCTATAATCCTGGTTACTCAGGAGGCGAGCTCTGAGGATAACAGTTGGAAGCCAGCCCAGGCAGGAAAATCTATGAGACTCTTATCACAAATAAACTATTCAAAAAGTTGGAAGTGGTACTGTGGCTCAAGTGGTAGAGTGCTAGCCTGGAGCACAAAGAGGTTCAGGGACAGTGCCCAGTTCCTGAGTTCAAGCACTAGGAGTGGCAAATAAAAATGTGTTTCAACAATAGTTTTCTTATGTCTATTCATTATTAATATGTGTAGCTTTGATAACATTTATCTTGTAATTATAATATGAGGCTGGAGATATGGCTTAAGTGGTAGGTACCTGCCTAGAAAGCTCTAGGCAGAGTGCAAACTCTAATACTACTTCCAAAATTGTGATATGAATCCAGGATAGAATAATTATTTAACACTTGGGATCTTCTGGTTATTGTTAGAGGAAGTATAGATAATAGGCCATAAAGCAGATGAGATCCAAGTATTTGTTCATTCATTCATTTACTCATATCTTTATGTCCACCAATGTCAGAAGCCATGGGAAAATATATAAAGAGTAAAAATTTAGGGCTGGAAATATGGCTTATGGGCTGGGAATGTGGGTTAGTGGTAGAGTGCTTGCCTAGCATGCATGAAGCCCCGGGTTCGATTCCTTAGTACCACATGAACAGAAAAA